TCCAAGTATGAAATACCATCATAAAATTCATATTACGATATTTTACATTTAATATTTATTCTTTTCCCAATTCAAGAATTTAGTTCCTGTTATTATTAATTGTTTTAACGAGATTAAAAAGAATTTTTCGTTCAAATTTTCATTAAAAATGTTATCAGACATTAGAAAAGTTTTTTTTTATCTTCTTTCATACTTACTTTAAAAGCTACTCATTAGTTATTAGTCATATATTTTAAAGATCAATATGTCTTACCTTATTGTAGAGCAATCGAATGAGTTAAGGAGATGGGAGACAAATATAACAATCTAAACCTACTTTAGTTTCTTTGAATATAAGTAGAAATATAAATCTTATTTTACTGTCCCTTAGAAAAACAACATGTCATCTTGCCGAGAATTTTGTTAGAACATTTTCAGTAAATCGAAAATAGGTATTATTAAAATTAAAAAAGCTGTAATTAACTTACGATATTAGACCTTAACTTTTCCAGAATTTAACAGAAAATACTCAGTGAGTTTAGTATAGTTAGAAATGGATTGATTCTAATAATATCCAAAAATGGGAAGTGAAATTATTGTTAAAAAATGTTGCTCAACTGGTATAAAATATGCGTAAATTGCATTTCTTTCTTTTTCGTTTTTTTTTTTTTTNATGATGCGTAAATTGGATTTCTTTCTTTTTTTTCTTCTTTTTTTTTAAGGAATGATGCGTAAAATAAAGCTTATGCTTATAAATTTGTGTCAAAAGACAATAGTAAAAAAAATTTTTGGCAGTGAAATTCTTATAAAATGTATTCAGGGGATGATTAGAACATATATTAGCTTCCTTTTCAGTTCAATTTAAAACAGAAAACTAACAAAAGTCTCCTCACTTTATTAAAAGTAATATTGGAAACTAAAGTTATAGTTTGCCTACGCTAAGAACTCCCCTCGCCATTAAAAGTAATGATGCGTAAATTGGATTTCTTTCTTTTTTTTCTTCTTTTTTTTTAAGGAATGAAGCGTAAAATAAAGCTTATGCTTATAAATTTGTGTCAAAAGACAATAGTAAAAAACAATTTTGGCAGTGAAATTCTTAAAAAAGGCATTCCGGGGATGATTAGAACACATATTAGCTTCCTTTTCAGTTCAATTTAAAACAGAAAACTAAGTCTCCTTACTTTAATAAAAGTAATATTGGAAACTAAAGTTATAGTTTGTCTGCGCTAAGAACTCCCCCAGCCACAAAGTCTGAGGCAGTCTGCTGCTATGGAAACAAGAATAGTTTACTAGGGTTAACACAATAGACCGGAGAAAAAGATTTACCTTCTCTCGCCAACCTTACACCCTTACTTGAAATAGATATACCTCGTTACCATAGTCACCGCCACTGGTCCAGACGAATGGCTAGCGGAGTTCTTATTTTAGACAAACTATACATTTAAGTGCAAGATGTTTCGTTACTGCGCTGAATTTAATTTGATTTATACCCGATTCAATAGGAGACATCGGGAGAATGTATAAGTCTCGAAATGCTGGTCTGTGTCTTATCAGTACAAGAAAACGAATAGATTGTGATGAACCAAGGAGGCCTTCAAATGAAGCGAGCCCGAGAGTGACCCTGGATTGCACGGCTGTAAACCCAAGCAACAATTTTACCTTGACCCCAGTTGAGCTCAATACGCGTTCTATAAGAATATGTACCGAAGGACCAATGATGGGATGTTCAGATTTTTAAATATTGGTCTTAGAATGGTCTATATAGGGCCTACATTGGCCAACACGGAACCTATATTGGCTAAATAATGAATATAAAATATCGGGTGACTCTGACAATTCTATATAGGACTGATATCGGTTGTAAAGTGGCAGTAAAATATCGGTGAATCGGACAATTCTATATAGTACCATTATCGGCAAAATAACTGTCCTTTGAACCCTTATTGAGTCAAGATTCATGAATATTGGCACAATGAGGGTCCAAGTTGTTTTGCTGCTAGGGAATGTACAGATGTAAGCATGTTTCTGTCTACAGATCTCCAAGTTACACATGAGGAATGTTCCGTAGTAAATTTACAGAAGTTATATGCACTATAGGGCAGGACAATAAAATCAGGAACATAATATTTGAAAATAAATTGAAAATGAGGATGCCCACTGAGCCTGATTATTGCCTAGGCCCTTGACAATTTCTGAGGGGCCTTAAAAATTAGCAAAAAGGTCCTCAGTATTACTATTTCTTTTAAATACTAAAAGAGACAGTTCCAAAAATTGCATTTTCATTATATTATGATACAACCAAACTCACGTAAACATTGCACAAATCAAATTCGAAAGTACGGTGGGCTAGCTTTATGTTAATTTAACTGATGAATAATTACAGCTTAATGACACAGCAAAAGTTCACGATAGTTCTTGTTTGAGGAACATGAAAAATGTTTTTAACTATTTTTATTTGAACATAACATGGTTTCCTTTTTCATATTCTGCTTTTATACATATTTAATAATATTTAAGACCAAATTTTAAAACAGGAAAAATTTATGTTATATGTTATGTTATATTATTATGAATTGGATAATACTACAAAACAGGATTTTGAAATTCTCATAAAATTATTTGCTGAAAAAGTGTAATAAAAAGCATTTTTAAAAAGTGTATTGTATTGAATACTTTTAAATGTATCTACTATTGAATACTATTAAATGTTATGAGTATAACTTTGTCATTGATTATGAATTTTAATTTTTTAAAACGTGTTATTTCTAAATTATTATTTAAATGAGTCTTTAATTTTCTATGAGTAGATACAGTTTTGGATCTTTTGGATATTTTTTGTGTTGAAATGTAATTTATAAAAAAAAAAAAAAAAATTAATAACCTTAATATTTTAGCATACATGCTGAACTTATCGTTAAAACTAATAAAAGCTGGGCTAACTTTGTGTTGGTTTAGGTACTAAATAAATAAGAATTACATTTTGCAATAAAAAATAATTCAGCTAATCAGTGACTTTTAGCAAAAATCACTGATATCAATTGTTTGAGGTCGCCTAACTATTTTTATTTTGACCTAACATTTATGCTGTTTTATATTTTGCTTTAATATATACATGCGTAAACTTTATCTTGAGGAAATAATCTTCAATTGTCTGCTTTCAAAATTTCTTAGGCTGTTTATCTTGAATTATGCTGTTCAGTAGATTTTTTTATTTTTTATTGTTAGGACTACTCTTAAGTTATTTAATTTTAAAATAGTTTGTAAGGGGCCCGGAAATTTGGTAGGCCTTGGGCCTGTATTTGTCTTGATTTGTCCCTGCCGTGCTCAGCTATAGCGACACGAACATAACATCACGAAATTACTGCACTGAATAGAAAATCGACAACAATGTTCATTCCATCTATCCCCAGAGTGCGCCATATTGAATTTTCCCAGTCCTGTAATGCATGGGACATTTGGCGATGATTCTTTAATTTTTAAAAACCTCGAGTTTGATGACCCTTTGAGCAATTTTTCATTTATACATTCTAAATTAAATTGTCAATAAATAAATTGTGTCTGTGATACTATTGATTATATAAAAAAATTTTTGAATTTTTTTTTAGAAAAAGTATCTTTCCTTTGTTATGCCATTGACACATTTGCTTTTCGTTTTAGCTCTAGCGTTACGGGTAGATTAAATATTTTTTATTTAAAACTAAGCTTTTCTTTTTTTTATTATAATTGAATATTTTATGTCCATTTCATAGATTTTTCTTTTTCTAAAAGTAGATGGCTTAAAAAGAGGAAAAGAAATGTAATATTAATTCAAAAATTATTTCAATTATATATGCACAAATAAAAAAAAAAACTCTATTGACTGGCAATTGACAATTCTAGCAAATCTAGCAATTGACTGGCGATAGAAGCTCGCTTAAACAGGTTCTGAGAATATTTCCGGTTTGAATATATTAAAACATGTTTTTTTTTTATTTGTAAATCAGCGCTGCTTAAAAACTTTTCATTCAAAAATTTTTCATTTCTGGAGCTTTTAATATAGAACGATTGATTAAGTTTTAATTCTTAAAAACTTCATCAAACTGGATTTTTTTTTTTTTTAAGGAATAAAAATAATATCTTTTTAATAAGAAAAAAAGTAATTAAACAAATTTACCGCAATTATCAAAGTTATTTTTTGTTATAATATTAAGATAGTAATTTAATAACTCACTAAACTAACCTTCCCCCCTCCCCCCAAAAAAAACTTCAAAATGTGATGTTAAACTTTTTTCACTTTTTATTATTTATTTATTATTATAATAATTATTTATTTTTTTTTAATGTAAGGAGATAAAAGCCTCTTTTTTGTTGCATGTAATCAAGTAATTTAAATCCATTCTTTCAATTTCATAACATTATAAAAATTCCAATATTATTTCTAAAAATTCCATAATAATTGGCGACATATTTATGAAATAAATAAATAAAAATAAGGGTATGCATGAAAGTAAGGGAAAGCTCGAAAAATAAATATGAGCATAGTGCGATAAAAAATGCTTAAATGCAAATGTCTACAACCAAAATTAAAAACGAAATCATTTTAGAAATAAATGTGTTATTGGTTTTAAAAAGTAATAGGACTTATAGGAATTTAAATAATAATAACTCTAAGGAATTGTAAATTTTGCAATTAATTACTATCAGAAAGTATCATGACGATTTCAATTATCGTGTATAAAAATTTTTATGAATTTTGGTAAAATTATAATTAAGACGCAGTCGACAGGATTCGAACCTGTGCGGGGAAACCCCAATGGATTTCGAGTCCATCGCCTTAACCACTCGGCCACGACTGCTTGTTTAAATAAAGAAAAGTTTACTATCAAATCTAATAATACTTCATATTGACTTATTTTTATATAATGATGTTATAATAAAGGGGAATTCAAGTTATTCGAAATTTTCCTACTAATATAAAGGGAAAAATACAATTCATAAACAAAATTATACATAAACGAAATTATTTTTATATAATAAACACAAAAAACTCAAAATTTCGTTGGTTTCGTTTGGCATCATTATCTTGCGCTTTTCACGCATGCTTCCTCTTTTCTTGATCTTTTCGTCCTCTGGCACTAACTGTGGTCGTTGATTTCGACGTAGCGCCTGCTAAATTTTTAAAATTCTAAATTTTATTTTATGTAAGTATATTTTTTATTTCAAAAACCCTTATTTTTTGCACCTTTAACGTGATTGTACTATCTTATTTGTTGCTTCGTGTTAAAAAATTATAGTACATTTGTATTCAAATAAAATTTTATCTTATGTATTTTAGTAATTATTTGAAACAAAATGTATACAAAATCGATTTAATATGCATCAGTATTTAAATTACCCCATTGTATCTAATTACATTAAATATGTAGGTTAATAACAGCAAAATTTTTAATTCTGTAACTAGGACAGTTGATTACGTAAGATTACACCGGTAACGTAACAAAACACATGGTTTAAATGTGACTTTCTGGATTATCTGAAAAATTCAGTAACATTAAAAATCTTAACTTGTTGATGAAACAATAATTATTTTCAGGGTGTGTTTTTAAAAAAAAAAATTAAAGTTAGGAGAAAATTATCTCACCCTCGGTTGCAATTGTTTTTGTCCACTTTAATCGGTATTTGTAACCTAATAAATTTTTCTTAATTCGTTGTTTAAAGAATAGGCCTATTTAGCCATAATTGTTTCGTTAATTTGTACCTACTTAATGTAAGTAAATATAGGTATAAGGTTAAAATGAAAAAATATCTAATTGACCGAAAAATACTAATACATTTAAAATTAAATTATCTATAACATCACTCCAATATTCATTTTATAATTTTGCCAATTTTTTTATTGTTTAATCCTTCCATTTTTTTAAATCTAAATCTTAATATTTATTTTAAATATTCATTATCAGAAGTCCTATATTAGTTTAGGCATATATTATCGTTTGGTTGTATGTTTGGTAAAATTGTATGGTTAATTCTTTACTTGTTTTGGTTTTTTTTTTGTTTACTTAATTTGACAAGCTGTAGTGAAAATGATTTTAAAAATATAATAATTTTTTTAAAAAAATGTCAACTATTTTAATATGTAGTATGACAATTGACTGTTTTATCTAGTTTTAACCATGATGTTGTACATAATGTCAAAAAACTTTCTTTGGCAAGTGTCAAAAATATTGATGCAATAATTATTATAATTATGGTGTAATAATTAAACGATCAATCAGTTATGTTCTTGAATTATTTTGTCTTTTAACTCTCTTTTTTGTTGTGTTTTTTTGTTTGTTAATTAGTGCTGTTAAAAACCCAAATTCTGGTATATTACATATTAAATAATTATAAGCAAAAGTATGTAAAAATTGCAATTTATCCCATCTGTTAAATTATTGAAAAAATTTAAACACAATGAGCTTAAAATAACATTCAACAATCATCTTAATCATTAAAAAAAAAAAAAAATCACTCTTCCATTTTAATTCTTTCTTTACCCAAAGCATGTGATTACACAAAAAAAAGAAAAAGTTTTAATGATCTCTGTATGTGAAGTTCATATATTAGTTTCGTAAGAATAAGACCAAAATTCGAAACTGCTTGCTCAATTGATACTGAACTGCATAAACTGAAATATAGAAGTAATAAAACTCTTAAATTGATTAGTTGAAAAAATTACTCATTTATGCAAACATTTATATTTTTTGTAAATTATGATTAGTTCACTAATCGGGAAATATATATGAGTCAAGATTTATTGGAAATATTAAAGTACAGTGAGAAAAAACAAGATATCACACTGAATAACTTTTGCTCTAATGATCGGATTTTCATGTACTAAGTGTCTATCTTACTTGTTTTTGGGGGGTGACTTCAAATATGCTAATTAATTAGTGCTAACCGTTGATTAAGTTATGAAATCAGACATAAAAATACACTTTATCTGAATAAAAAGTTGTTTTTTTTTACATATTTGTATTTCTGTCCCTTGGACAAAATTTCAAAAAGATTGGATCATAAATTCTAAGACTAATAAACTTTATATATTTGGCAATAGTCCAAAATAAACAACTTATCACCGCCGCAACAGAATATTTAAGAAAACATATAGACTAATTCAAGCGAGGAATACCCAATTTTACTCCATTGGTAAAGAACCAAGTTCAGACAATAAATAAAATTGAAATAATGTTCTATAATTACTCGAAGAGGTTTATTTATTTATTATAAGTTAACAGAAAATATCTCTAAGTTTCTAAGCAATAAATAATTTTTCGACTGATTTCTGACCAAAAAGCAGAAATGTTTTTTCTTCTAATCTCCTTTGAAAAAAGAATTTTTGAATAGATTTATAAATTTATGCTTTTCTAACAGGGTTGGCAAGTTTTTGACAGATGACGGTTTTTACCATCATGTCAAAATCCCATAGTTTTGGTAAAACTGTATTTTTATTTGAGTTTAACTGCTTATGATTCAAAATTAATTCATTTTTGAGCAATAAAATTAGAAAAATAAAGTTAGTTAAAAATAAAGAACAGATTCTTGCATTTTTCCAACATGAATATATCAAAACATACTATTTGAAGTAAAATATTAGGATACTAAAAAAAATTTCAATATTTTCAAGCATCATTTTGTTTGGCATATTACATTATTGAAGAATGTCAAGAATGATTACTTTCATTCTTAAAATCTTGCTATGAGAAACACATGTACACATAAAAAGAAAGCCTCATAAAATAAACTTTTCTTATCAATTTTGCTTTCAATATTTTACACAGAAATGAGACATGAAAAAGTCTAGGAAATCCTTTTAAAGTTTCAATATTTCTGTATGAAAGTATATCCTTCTATAAGAATACATGTATATAGTTGCAAAATCAATAGCAATCATTTACAACATTAATTTATAAAGGCAATTATGTGAAAATAATATATTGTCTGCTATATGCCATGAATTAAAAAAAACATTAGGTTTTTGACAGTTTTTACCGGTAAAAACACGGTTTTTACCACTGTCATGTCAAAAACCAGTTTTTGGCGGCAAAAACCCAACCCTGTTTTCTAAGCTTTTAAAATTAAAATTCATGAACTTTTTATCTGATATTATTTTGATTTTTAATGTTTTTATTTCATTTATACGAGGATTTCATGCAAATTGACATAACTTATTTTAATTATATACAAAATTTTAGGGATATCATTTTTGCAGCTTTGGTTATCTTAGGCGGGAAAGTTTAAAGAAACAAAAAAGTGCCTGAGCAAAATGTAGATTATATAGGAATTCTAATGCACATTCACAAGTTTATATGTAATTTATTATGTTTGTTTTTTCTGTTACTGAAGGAATTGTTGAATGTTAAGTGGCATTTACATATAATAAATACCACTCCTATGATTTTTTTCTTATATATATCTGATACGATACACTCCTTTTAAACAGATTTTGTAAGGTCCTATAAGTGTTAAAGTAGTTATTTAGTAGTAGGATTATAAAATCTTCTTTTAAAGAGTGTTTATATAAGATTACAAAACTTTGAATTTTAATTTATAAAATTTATATATCAAAACAGCATAAATTTTTTTATCAGGAAAATTTAAACATTTCAACTTCTAAGTATGAATTTTCCAATTTAATTTTTTTTAAAAATAGTATTATATAAGATGCTATTAAAAACAGAGCAAAATTGCATTAAAATTTAGCTCTTTGCATTAAACATCTATTTAAAAAATCTGAAGCTTCTATTTTTCGCGTCTGATGCAAGTTTAACAAATATGCCAAAAATAATTGAAATCTAAATTTTTGGCATTAAAAATTGTGTGTTGATATGATTTCCCAAATATATTTCATGATAATCTATTAGTTAATAATAATGATCCATGTTAATAATTGTCCAAACTCTCTAATCCGATTGTGATCATTTTCTATGGATAGTGCTGTTTTTGGGAATATATTAAGCACTGGTATGGAGAAAACAACATTGATATTTTTTTCATGGATAATTTTTCTAGTTTAAATTGTAGTCAACCCCTTGTCAGCGTCGCCCGAATCCAGTTCAGACAACTACTATGTGTAGTGTTTGTGATGTCCAAACTAACTCTGGCAGAAGAAAAATTAACGTTTCTATTTTATGAAGCTATTCTTCTATTTTATTTTGTTATGCTGAGTTCGTTTCTACTTTAGGATACTTAATTCACTATTTCCCTAATAGATGGCATTAGTGGTCCTAGTCAGACACAATTCTATTAAGACAGGTCAAGGGAGGGAATTGTAGGTGGGGGATTTGGGATATATACCATAATGTAAGAGATTTGTAAACTTAATGTTTTGAAAATCATATTGTTGTGTTTTTATACGATATTATACTAGTTATATTATTTTTAGCTTCAAAATTTTGTTTAATTTGCTCTAACTGAATAAGTTGTGTGTGCAATCCATTACTTTTTTATGTGTATCTAAAAATTTTAAATACAGTAGTTATTGCATTTAAAATTTTATTTTTGTAATAAAAAACATTTTCTAACTTTTATAATAAAAAAAAGAACAAAATTAATCATTTGAAAATTTTTTCCATTTCTTATTGAACATTTTGTGTGCTACTACGTAGTAGTACTATGTAAGTTTTTATACCAACCTCTTTAAAGTTTTATATCTTAACAATCTATCAATATCTGTTGAACATTAATTATCAATATATGTTGCACATTAATTGTTTAATACATAGGTGCACATTAAAGTTATTGTTGCCCAAATTTTTTTAGATGCAAATTAAATATTTTTAAAAATCTACTTCTTATTTTAATTAATAATTCAATACTTTTGTTTTGAACAACTTGGTAAAAATCTGACAGTAATATTTAATGTTCCTTCAAACATAAGAGTCCTACATAAAATTTTTATAAAGTTGGGCCCGCCATTTGATTTGTGTTTTTAATTGTGTCCCCTGGCCTAATGTAAGTTGGAAACCCCTTACCTAGATGCGCTGTGTAAGAAAAATCTTTCAATTAATGCTTTTAATTCTGTATTGCAGAGAGATGGGAGATATTCCTGCTGGTGATCCTGAAAAGGGCAAGAAATTATTTGTACAAAAATGTTCTCAGTGTCATACTGTTGAGAAAGGAGGAAAGCACAAAGTAGGCCCCAATCTCAATGGCCTGATTGGTCGTAAAACAGGACAGGCTCCTGGTTTCTCCTACACTGACGCTAATAAAAGCAAAGGTCTCTTCATTTGATTTTTTATTAATGTACTGAATTATGAGATAATGAAGTCAATACATTTAGAGGGCGCTATACCGAGGAAGAGAGTTTTCGTCGCAACTTCTTTCTCCTTCATTACTAATTTAAAAGAAAGAAGAAATAAATTCAGACAAACCTAGAGTAAGCCATGAAGTTTCAAACACTGAAAAGAAAATTTTAAAATATACAAATGAAAATAAATGATGAGATGATAACTTTGGATTACGCTACGGAGAAGTTGTCTTCTAAATTTGTTTGCATTTTAATATTTTGAAGTATTTTTTTCAGCATTTGAAACTTCGACTTACTCTAGTTTTGCCTGAACATACTTTTTCTTTCTTTTAAATTAGTAATAGAGAAGTAGAAAAAAAAAATTTCCGCAGTATGGCGTCTTCTTAAGATCATATACTTTATATTATCATGATTACTTAAATTTAATAAATAAATTTTTTGGTATTTTATCTTTATACTAATAAGAAATTTAATGCAAGGCAAAACCTGTGTGATAAATAACATTTTATTTTTTGTTTTTACTTGTACATAAAATTTAATAAAGGAGTTTTTTTTTTCCCTTGACATCTCTAATGCTTAGAATCTGCTATTTATTATTTTTTTTTTATGCTTAAGATATGGTGTGCTAGATATTTTAGGGTGAAAACTTTATATTATTTTGGCATTTTAGAAGTGATAGGGGAAGTAAATATCTCAATTTTTTTATGAACATTGCTATTGGAAAATAAATTTTAGTGTAAGTCATTTGGAAGTTAAGGGGTTTTCTGATCTAGAAACTTTAAAAAAAAAAAAATCTAATTTTTTTTATTCAGAATAATAATGTATCTTAAATTTGCACCATGAGAATGATAATTGATTTATAATTACATTAACTATGATACTTTATTATTTGCTTTTCAAAATGGTAACTATTTTTTTAAATTAAAGGCATAAAATAAGAATTTTAATTTGGTAAAAACAAATGGGATAAAAAATATACATTAATGCAGCTTCATTAATTCCATCTAATTAAAAATATAAATCCAAAAAAGTGGTGTTTTATGAATTTTAAAAATTTTATATTTTTTAACATTCCATAATCTTTTAGTTATACCTGTGATTGTTCCTAATTGTAGGGTATTTTGCAACAGTTTTATTCTCTTGAATTGTAGTTATTGGCTTAAAACTGGAATCCACGGATTAGTTTTAACATTTAGTAAATTACTGTTTTGTTAAACTATTAACAAGCTAAGTTTAAATTGAAATTTAAAAGAAATTTTTTTTTTAAATACTCAGATTCTACAATTATTGGTTCTCTGATAATATTTATTTACAACAGTGGTTACCAACTGGAAGCCCGCGGGCCACATAAGGCCCGTGAATCCTTTTTTGTGTGTGTGTGTGTGGCCTGCGAATTAAAATATATTGTTATTTTTTTGCGGACAATTTTCGTAAAAAATCTTTGTGTTTAAAATACTTTTCTTTTGTTAAAGAAAGCCTGATTTCTTCGTTTCTGTGAAATTTAACATACCAACGGTGCAAAAAAAATGTATTTATTGGGTAAAAATCTACTTCTTATTTTGATTTGTAATTCACTACTTCTGTTTTGTACAACTTGATGAAAATCTGACAGTAATATTTAATGTTCCTTCAAACATAAGAGTCATATATAAAATTTTGATAAAGTTGCGGCCTGCCATTTGACTGGTGTTTTTAATTGCGACTCCTGGCCTCATGTAAGTTGGAAACCCCTGATCTACAATCTGAATTAAAAGGTAGGGGAGAGGGGGGCACATGTGAACAAATTTTTTTATTTCTTCACTTTTCGAAAAATATCATCAATTTTTCATAGTAAAAAAGTCCATATGTTTAAATAGTATTTTCTTTGTCTTGTGGAATTTTTTGAGATTTTTCAATAAAATATTTCTTTACTTTATAATATTTTAGAAAAATGACTTCAATTGTTCACATGTGCCCCTATTGGGGGCACATGTGAACAGGCCTGGGGCACATATGAACAAGATTAAAAACACAAAGCAATCATCATATTTCAAAGAAAAAAAATCTTTAATATAACAGATATAGATACGCATTATACTGAGGGGGTTGTAGCTTACTATGTGAATTTAAATTGTACAACAGTACTGTCAATAAGAAAATAATTTTTCAGCTGTACAATAATTTATCCGTAATTGGGTTTTTCGCAACTTCATGTTCCACGGGTGTTGTAATGGGCCTTTTTCTTTCTTCTCTAATACTCTTTCATTTTTTTTTTTTTCATTTTTTCTATCTTTTCATTTGTAGCTTTAACAATTCTATTTTCTCAGGTGTATCAGTTAATATGCGTGATGCGCGATCAACCATTTAATAAAAAAAAAATTTTTTAAAGGAAAAATTAATAAATTAATTATGGAAAATTAAATAATGATAATTTTAAATGCATACATATTTTTTAAACTTATAATATCATGAGGATAATAATCTTAATACTATGTAGGGGCACTTGTGAACTGTTCACATCTGCCCCAGATGTTTTGTTCACAAGTGCCCCCATCATCCTTCTTAAACCTAACTTGAAAAATAAAGAACTTTTAATTGAGTAAAAAAAAAAAAGAATAATTGTCATAAACTTACCTGAATGTTCATATAATGATCCGCAATAGTTCATTTTAGTTTATTAGTTGATTTATATTATGCTTTCACTTGGAGAAGCGAGCGATTATAATATATGCAACACCAGCTGATACAAAGAAATTGTCAGACTAGACCAGTGATTCTCAACCTTTTTCTTGTTGCGGCACACTTTTAACGATTTCGAAATTTGACGGCACACAATGAAAAAAATTAGATTAAAAGTTGTTTAATGACCTATTTTACTCCGTGTTAAGTAGTTTGTGGTAATAATTTTGAATGTGAAATAAAATAATATGTACTGCAAAAGCACATTTATTAAGGGATTAATTATTTCTTTCGACCAATTTTTTATTAGTTAGTAGCAGTTATTTATTTTTTTGCTAGTTATTAATTGTTAGCTTGTTTTCTATAATTATTAACTGTTATTTTTTTTGCGATTTCTTGTTAACTAGTTTTTTTGCTAATTGTTAATTGTTAGCGTAATTTTTGCTAGTTATCCTTTGTTAATTTGTTTTTTATATATTTGTTCTTTTCCGACAAAGATGTTCACGCTGTTGAAGCGTGGAAAAATTACAAAAAGTATATCTGCACACACACACTTTTCTTTAATTTAAACTTTACTCATAATAAAAAAAAGCGTTATAATTTTTATTGTATCATTTCTAATATTTGGCGGCACATTTTAAGAATTTAGCGGCACACAAAAGTGCCGCGGCACAGTGGTTGAGAATCACTGGAATAGACCAACAAAATGTCTCATTGTTCTGAAAGTTTTTCAGAGAGGTAGGACTAGTACTGCCATCAATTGAAAATTTTTCGAGATTTTTCATTTCAAATTATATTGGTAAAACATACCATGTTCACATGTGCCCCCCTCTCCCCTGCTATAAGGTTAAAGAAGTTTTGATACGCTTGACATAACTTTGGTTAAACTATAACATGTATCAGTTGATATATTTCTTTAGTTGTCTACTATTTTTGGGCAGTTATTTTATAAAGTAAGAGCTAATATTTAAAAAATTGTAAATATACAAATTTTACCCATTGATCAAAAAGTTGCATAGATAATATGCCCTGGAATGTTCTTTTAGGGATAAATGAGACAATTTAAGTTAATAAAATGAGTAGCTCATAATGTGCTATTTAAATTTACAAAAAAAAAAACTAAGTACTATGCATTGAATGCTCTTAATCCTTTCGTTTATTTATTTTTAGGTATAACATGGAATAGGGACACCTTATTTGTTTACTTAGAAAATCCTAAGAAATACATTCCTGGCACAAAAATGGTATTTGCTGGTCTAAAGAAGAAAAACGAGCGTGCCGACATCATTGCCTACTTAGAGGAATCGACAAAATGATTTAAGTGATTGTAGACATCTCAAATTTATTTATAAATCTCATCTCATCAAAAATGGTTTAGTTTTGGTCTATTATAGCACAGTCTGCCTCCATACTTGTTTGTGCTGTCTGCTGTAAATTTAGTTGGATAAATAAATGAGTATGGTCTGCTTGTAACGTACCTTTTCTACATTTTAATTTAGTAATGAAGAAAAAAACGAATTTATGATGAAAATATTCTTCTGCGGTATGTCGTCCTCTTAAAGGTTTACTCGGAAAATTGATTTTGTTTTCATGTTAGCCTAGGTGTCCGAATTTTCTTTTTTTATTCAGTGACTAAATATTTTTAAGTAATTTTAGTTTCCTTTTATTTACTGAAATGACTCATTATTTCAATTGTTATTAAACTTAGTTACAGTTACAAAAAAAAAATTCTAAGTTCACATTTAAAAATACAAATTTAAATTTCTTTAACGATTTCAAATAATAAAATGAAACTAAAAATTATTTAAAAATATCAATTAGTAATTTAATAAATAAGAAAACTCAGGATAATAATTCTCTATGGGTTTGCATGGAAAAAAAGATATCCCTTTTCTTTCTGAATGGGATTTATGTTTGTTTGCAGGTTCGTGGAAGTGAATCTAATATCACTTGAGTTTTTTTTTTTTTTGTCTAAGAAACTGCAGGAATATTTTTAATGTAAAATGTTAAGCTGCATAATATATTGTGAAAAATTTGGGAATGTCTGCTGAGGGTCATTCTAACCGAGTATTTCGTGTACTGATGTAAGGATGTAACTAATATTTCGGCCAAGTACTTTTTGGAAAATATTTTCGACCAAGTTTTTTTAATTTCAATTGATTATTAAAGAAAATAATCTAAAATGGTATATTAACTATACATAATTAGAATAACATTTTACACACTTTTTTTAAGTTTTAAAATTTATGTGCTTGCCCCAGAATTTTTTTTATTTTCAAATTTATGTTCTGGAAGACAAAAGGGGAAAAAATACTGCTTTTTATTTGCATATAAATTATACTCTGCCAAGTCAATTGAGTAGTTTTTTCATCACTTTTTGTTTTAAGAAGTGAGAACGTTTTTTTTTTTCTTGCTGCTTTTCTGATTTACGTTGTTGCAGCATTTCTGATAGTTTTTTATTTTATAATTTACTTTTTTTCTCCCTGTACAACACAAATTACTGTGATTTTCAACGTTAAAGTTTTTGTTTTAAGAACAATTGTTTTGGTTCTGTTTTACTTATGCATTTTTTTTTTATTACGGTACAGCATTTTCGAAAATGCGTTTCTATTAAACTTGATTATTTTATCATAACTTTTTCTTAAGAACGCGCCATTGTGAAAAAATTACTGATATTTTCAGCATTAAATTATTATTCTAAAAATGACTTGTTTCTATCAAGCTTTTTTTTTTTTTTTTAAGAAATGAAGAAAAAAAAAGACGCTTATAAAAAATAAGGTAGACATGCCATCATTAAAATTTATTTGTGAGAGCTTTATACCCTTCCGCTCACTATATGATGTCCTAGCATTCCTGATACTAGTCTTTCTTGCCTGCTGATTTTTCAAAGTTTGCATATCAGTGCATTTTACTGCTAAATGATATGGCGATGAGGTAAGCCTGATTTAGTAATCTGTTTAAAGTTTTTCTGTTTTTTTTTTTATTAATATTTTTAGATTTTTTACTCAAAACGCTCTATTTCTAATTGAATTGAAGAACAAATTAAAATTATCTAAAATGAATTCAATATCTATTCGATGTATTAATCAAAAATAAACTCAATATCTATTAGATGTATTAATCAGAAATAAACTCAATGGAAGTATTTTGCGTGCGAGTCCATTAAATGTTAATCATGAATAAAAATTATTCAAGTAAATTTAAGTTGCGCATGATCATTTCACTGACAATAAAAATATTCAAAACTCCCTGTGTCTTAAAATATTTTAGATGATATGGAACAGTTGGGATAAAATTTGCATTTTTCATTTTTTTCCACCTTTGATGAATTAAAAACTATTTAAACGTAGAGTACAAAATATTGTTTATTATATGAATCAAAATATCGTTTTTCCGAAGTTAGAGTAAATCTCGGCAAAAAAAAAANAAAAAAAAAAAAAAAAAAAAAAAAAAAAAAAAAAAAAAAACGTGAGTTTTTGGAGTAAATGATGTCTTATGTTAGAAAATAAAAATATAGTTGAGAAAATATTCATTTATTGCATAAAAGCTTAGTTTTTGTCTCGTCTCGTCTCGTGAAAACAAATCGTTGAATGGATCAAACTGTTAATCTTTTAAAATCTATGTATATAAAATTATGGATATTTAATTTCATTTTCCAATGCTGTTGATGATCATCTTCCAGAAAAAATTGACAATATTCCATCTCTAATACCTCCCAAGATTCCTTTCTCTGTGGAAATGAAATGAAAAAGTTTTAGTAGTAATTTCAATAATAATCTTTCTCACACAATGAAAATTCTACACTTAAGAGGAGGATTCTATACCGTGGGAGACACTTTTCATGAAAAAGCCTGTTTCATTTTATTGGTAATTTTAAGATTAAAGGGGGGGGGGGGAATGATNGGGGGGGGAATGATTTGAGGTAAATATAGAGTAGTAACCCATGAAGTTTAAAATTATGAAAAAAATGTTTATAAAATAACGAATGCAGGATTACTTCCTAACTGCGTAATCCTGCTATGATTTTGAATTTTTTTTTAAATTTGAAATTTTATAATTTAATCTAGGTTTACCTGAACTCACTTTCTCTATATTTTAAATAACTTGCCTTGAAAGAGAATTTGCCATGTTCACTTGTGGTGTAGAGTCCTCTCAAGTATTATCTACTATGTTAATACAAAACATTTTAAGTAAATATTTATTTAAATATGTTTTTTACTTCTACTAAATGTTTTATTTTTCGATCCTTCAGATAAATTATTCTTTACCTTATGTAAGCCAAATTTTGGAACTTTCTTCTTTAATGCGATTTGCGCATGCGTAATTATAGTTTATCTTACATTTAGCTGCTAAACCAGTGGTTGAAAGTAGCGCACTGCAAGTAGTGAAACTACTGCAGTTGCTACTTTTTTACGTAGTTCGTAGTGCAGTGTTCTACCTTTTTTAAAATAAGTAGTGTGATACAAAGAACAATAGTTTGTAGCGGTTCTTGACAACTACTTCTAGTTTAACAAAGAAATACGGTTCTAACATAACTACTTTTTCGAATTTGATGGGTGCAAATCTTCGCAAGTCGGATACAGGGCTGGATTACCCATTAGGCCATGGCCTGGGGCCCCCAATGATTAGGGGCCCCCTTAAAAAAATTTTTGAAAATAAATTTTCAAAAATTGAGAAGAACAATGATTTTTTTTTAAAAAAAAAAAAACCAATTTCAAATATATATTAATAAAATACGATAATTTTTTTAGTTCTAATTTAACAAAATAAAGTAAAATTTAATTTATTATTATTTATTTTAATTTTAAATATGCTTTCTTAAATGAAAAGATATATACTTTTATATTTGAATAAATAAAAAATATACGAGAAAAAAAATTAATCTAAGGGCCCCCAAAATTTGAATGGCCTGGGGCCCCGCGTACGCTTAATCCGGCCCTGAATGGATACAATTAACAGGGATAACGTATTTAAAATCAAGTATAACTATTATATAAACTAGCCATTTCAAAGAATAGATAATTCAAACGCGAATGCCCACTCGTGAAATATTGACGTTATTTCCAAGAAATGGTACGTATTTTCGATTTACTTGATGTCTTAAAAAAAATAAGAGAGCATTCAACATTTAAAAAATTGCAACTATTTGTTAATTTCGCATTTCTTATAAATATCTGACGAAAAAGGCACCATGAACGAATTCGAATGGAATAACAAACTGGCTCATATAAACATGAATAAATATTTTTTTACTTTTTTCCAAGCCAATTTCTTATTCAAAACTATTTTGAACATACGTGTAAATTAAGTTCTCCAGCGAAGTTCGTCTTCTTAACGTACTGAAACAGTTACTAAATTCCAAAGTAGTTTGTAGTCACTACATTTAAAAAATTAGTTATAATTGTAGTTAGCTACATTTGTAACAAAGTAGTTTTAGTTGTAGTAAACTACAAAAATAGTGTAGTTTTCCTGACCACTGTGCTAAAAATTTGCAAGGGTGTCTAAAGGGATCGGATGCAGTGTGAATGGCGCCTTTTTTTCCAGATTTTTGTCAAATTTCTATGTGCTTAAATAACCACACTACCTAAATTTTTAATTGTGTATTTTTCTTTTAATTGTAAAAAAGTTTGTCACCTGAAACTTCAAAATAATTAATTAACAAATATTGAGATCAGGTGTGTACGAATACTCGGGCTCTTAAGAGCCCACACGCAATTTATTCATGCCTCGTCGTCATAACAAGATCTACATTAGCTACAATAGCTGACTTATAAGCACAACTAGTCAAATTTTCATTTTGTGTCGTAGCTAAACTAACCGTACCCGAGCATAAGTATGTTCCTCATTACAGCCTCATCTTTGCTCTGAATATAAACAAAAAGACAGTTCTTAAGAGTGTGAGGAGGTTTTTCCTTTCTACGTCTACAGAAATTGAATCCACGGTATGGCAAGCGATGCTTATTATGTTCAGAAATAGGAGAAATCTTGCTATCTTTTGCAAAAAAAAATTTTTTTTTGAGTGCTTCTCACACTTTTGTATTGATATATTTTGCTTTGGGTACATTGATACAATATTAGAAAGCACTCCTTTTTGCGGATATAATCGTGTGAGCTGATGAAGAGATTCTATCTTTTTATTTCCTGTTTTCCGGCTTTTTAATATATATATTAAAAAATTATATTTTAAATATTTTATTTTAATAATTTTTCTTCTTCTCTTTTCATTAATCTTTATTATTTTCCATAACGAAAAGAAAAAAAGTTATTAATATAAAATATCTTTAAAAAAGTATTTCAAAAATATATATTAAAAAGCTGGAAAACAGAAAATGAAAAGATAGAATCTCTTCATTATCTCACACGATTATAACCGCAAAAAGGAGTGCCTTCTAATATTGTATCGATATTGCCAAAGCAATCTGTATATTGTATAAAGCAATCTAGACTTTGTATCGGGAATTTTTTTGTTAGACTTCAAGCAGACCAGTAAAAGAAAGCATTACTTACTGTCTTCGGCACCAATGCAGTCATCTCTTGACTTCGAACCTTTTGAGTCTGTGGTTTTGCCTTCATCACACTTATCACAATCCTTCTTTCCATAACTCTCTTGGTAGTAGCCGACATCGCACATGCTGCACTCCACTGTGTTGGGCTCACTGTAGTAGCCAGGCATACAAGGAACTTTGGGAACATAAAAACACTATTAAAACACTTGACGGATATGTTTATACTTTTTGTAAATAGAATTTATGGCTCGCTATTTCTTCAATATTCACACTTTCCCCCACTCCGTTATCATGGTTTCGGTAAAAAAAGCAAGATATTATTATTTTATAACCCTCGTTGGACAGCCGACCCAATCTTTTGGGTTTACGACTGCTAATGTTTAACTCCGTAGCCTTGTAGTTTTGAACCCCATCCAGATGACAAGGGAACTGCTGGATCAAGTATTGGGAGAAATTTTGCCTTCGTGGAGTGCTTTTTAACGGAACTAACCCGTTTGCATTTGTTGCAACCGCATTTACGTTACGTAGAGAGGGAAATCACGAAAACTTCTACCGGTTAGTCTGACGGCAAGAGGATTCTAAGCCGTGATCCATCCACGCCTGAGGATATTTTACGTCAGCATTGTGGTCGATGCAAGCCTTATGCGGAATTCGTACAGACCAGCCATTGCTGGGATTCGAACCCGGTTCACCTCATGGAAAGCGAACGCTCTATCCCCTGATCCATCAGTCGAAACCATGGTAACAGAGAAGGGAAACGTGTGGAAACCATGAGATTCTATTTACAAACACTGCAAAGACATACAAAATACAGGCAAGACCCGACTACCGACAAAGTCCGATTAGGCTTGGGTCTGGGCCTAGAATTATTGAAAAGAGAGAGAGATACTTAGAGGGTAGTTTTAGAGACCTACGCAGAACATTATAAGTATAAAAACATTATATTAAAAAAATTATTTCTAACGTTGAACCTTTTTAAAGAGCCCGAAGGTAAACTAATGGAGTATATCAAAATGGTTATAGGCCGGGATAGCCTGGACGGTAGGGCGCTGGGCCCATGTCCGACAGTTCGTGGGTTCGGACCCCACCGACCGAAGACTCCCCGTGTAGTAAAGTGACTGATGCACGTTAAATCTGTCGAGTCGCAAAAGTCCTCCATGTTCCCGTAACAAATCAATACCTTTGGGGGTACTGGATTGGAGATCGGTCGTTCTCTGATTCAGGTCAAAATTACGATCTGTGGATGAATGAATGGATGTATGAATGGGTCCGCCCTATAAACGGGTGCGACGTATGGTGTGGCAGAAGTCGAATTCTT